TCATCTTGCTACGTTATGTTAAACTTAGGTTCCTCCAACATCCATCACTAGAAACTTTATCTAGGTCACAAGCAAAACTAAAAGGACGAAAAATATTATTTTTCAACAAACCATAGGTCTCAAAGTTGTAGTTTACTTTAAGCTTTAAAAAGTGACTTGTTTTTAATATAACAGGTTTGATAGGAGATTTTGCTCATGGAGCTATATTCTTTTTTAGGGATTACAATTCGTAACAGAATGAGAATAATGTATTGACAAAAATGTTAGAATATACAGAAACTGTCATATCGTATTTAAATAACATTAAATTTCCTATACCGCTTTGAAAAAAGACAACCACTTTATACAAAAAGAAAAAAAATCGAACTTTAAGAAAAAGTTGCAGACATAAAAACAAGTCATGTTCTAAATTCTTTTGTCTTAAAATTGGTTATTACAATTTCAAATTTACCATAATTTGTTTATTTAACAAGTTAATTATGTTGTTTTAATATTTTTTTTATATAAATTTATTATGCATTTAAAAATTTATAGTAAAAGAGCGTTTTATTTGAAAATTAAAAGGGTAATCGCGCAATTTAGCAAGATAAATATTTATTCTGATGTTTAGTTTTTATTCTTTGTCTCTATCGATATAATACGATTTTATGTGTTGGAGAAAACGATAATATTTTTATTTTTGAATGAAATATAAATTTGAAGATAGCATAAAAAATTGGAAAAAAAATAAAATCGATATTAGTATCAAATTAACTATTTAAAATGAGTGTTTATCTTGTATTTGATTATTTTTATCTCCAGTTAGTTATACGAATATAAAAATAGAGCTTTAATAAATTATACATATGCAAAATTACTTGTAATTTTGAATTTTAAATAATATGAATCAATAAACAGTACTTCATGTATAAAAATAATTTTTAATTTTTTTTATTAAATGCTTTATAATACATAGATATAAATATCCAACTTTATCATAATATATAATCAAATTTAAAAATAATTTTAACCATAAAGATAACAATATTTTAAACGTGTAACTCGTGAAATAAAAATTAAAAGGAAATCATAAACAAATAAAATAAAACAGTGTCGCGAGTCAATCTAAAAAATAAAGTCAAGAATATGGGAATAAATGAACAAAACAAAGTCAATTTTTAATAAATTCAACTTAGTCAAAATTTATATTAAAATTTAAAAATAATATATAAATGCTCTTGAATTTTGTTGGGTATTTTTAATTTTAAAATTTAAAAGTACGACCTCGTAAAAAAATAATTTTTTCGTCTAGTCTGTTTGGATTAGTACAAAACGTTGGTAGACGGGTCCCACTCCTCGTAACGAGGGGGAATTTTGAAATTATAGATATATTGTTACTTGTTTCTATGTTTTATATTTCGACTTGTAATTTGAGGTAAAAAAGTTGTATAATCAACCGGCCAAAAAAGTAATTTCATCCCTATCTATATCTCTAACAACTTTTGTCCACTGACACACTCATCTATCATTTATTTTAGAATATCGATAGGTTGACAAAGACATATAAATGAAACGTGATTCAATGAGCGTTATTAACTTATAAAACGAGTCTGCTTTTTTGTAAATAGTAAAAATGAAGCGTTGGTAGGAGAATTCAGGCCCATAAAGATAGAGATGTTAGGTTTTGAAGCAATAACCACATGTTACTTGAGTACATTTTTTTATCGTTTTCGACCCTTAATTTTAGGTAAAATGTTGTATCGTAATCATGAATTAACCCGAACGAGCAATCTCATTTATGTTCATACTGAATTTGTCCACAAAGACACGTATCCAACTGTCATTTAAAATATGAATAGATTTATAAAACGTTATGGTCGTGCAGTTCAAGGAGCGTTACAAAGACACTCATTTATATATCGTGTTGGTTGATAAACTAGATGTTGTCTCGTAGACTAATTGTTAGTTGAAAACTAATTGATAAACTAATTATGTATGATAATTAAAAACTTAATAAGCTAATAGATGATCCGTTAGGATTGGATTCATCCAAATCTAATTCTCCAACAATGATACAAATTGATTAATCACTTTTAATATGTGCCAAAATCAACACAAGAGAAGTTAAAAATTCAAAGCTTCACATAAAACAAATTCCGATTTAAGCAATTTGAAAACCAAATTAATTAGATGATAATTGAGTAATGGTTAGATGGACAACTGTTTGGTCATTGGATGGGTAATTGAATGTTGATCGGTTTGGTCCGGTCCAGTTTTGGACTGCCATCCGAGAACCGATCGAATTACAATTGTATATTCAATTATGGCCGTTTGGTTCTAATTAGATCAGTCGGTTCCAATTAAATCGGTTGATTTTATACACACCCTTACTTATAACCATATGAAATGAAGATCAACGTGACTCGAAGCTGAATAAAATAACATATAAAAAAATGGATAAAAAGGGAAAGATAATTATATATTTTTAGATCATGTGCAGGCTTGGAAAATATTTACATTTATAGTAAATTGATAGCTATAATTTATATAATATTCCTATCTTGAAATACTTGCTTTTGATTCGTTTATTACATATTCTGTTTTTTAACTTTATATTTAGTCAAACTGTATAAAAATAAGTCGTGCATCATCTTCTTTTACGTGTTTAAAGCTATCTTTATAACCAACATACTTTATTAAAATGTCAAACAGAATAAAAATAAGATACGATGAATGTACATTAATCGTAATATACATTTTAGCAATAGATATATCATATAAGAAATAATAATATAACGTAAAAGAAGTGATTTTCAACATACAGTTGTTGTACATTTTTTTTTTGATATAGAGGGGGAGGCCCCTCTTATCGAGAGGAAAAAAAAATACTAAACGCTAGGACAAATTATGCACTCGGGTAGGGGCGAACCACATCCACCAGAAAAGAACCAAGGCTCTCGAGGGGAAAGGTGTTTTACATTTTTATGTTGAAGGTCTCGTGTTTTTAATGATGTAAATATTTCGTTAACGTGTTATTTTTAATACTTTTGTGATCAATAACTTCTTTAAGCATAAGAAGGATTTCAATTTTTTCTTTTACCCTTTTTGGTAATGAACATAATGAATAAATCATTGCTTTATCTGAAAGCATATTTTATATAAAATTATTAGAAAATATTCTTTTTTTTTAATTTTAAATAAGAATATATATAAATATTCATCAAAAGGAGAATATTTTGTAGGTTTAAACACATTTCAAAATGTAAACTTATCCCTTTACAAATAAATAAGTGAATATTTTATGGTTATCGAATGGTTTGATTCAGAATAATTAAGTGATCAGAAAAATATAATGCAAAATGAAATATAATTGTTTGGTAATTGTTTACAATGAAATTAGGACGCTTAATAGTTAAGGGAGACCTATGATATAAAATCATTCAAATTGTTTTAGAACAATTAAAAGACAGATTTTTTATTTTGTCAAACAAGATTCAGCTCTTAACGATTCAAATGTTGTCTCTTAATGAAACTATTAAGAGATAGACAAACAACCCCTAGGTAACTCAAGAGTCGTGGAATAAGATTCAAAATTAACAAGAAAGGACGAAATATAAGTATTTTAAGCATTTTTCATATAACCTAGAAGAAATATATATAATGAACTAACACTTTTTTAATACTTTATGTTGATAAATTAGTTGGTAAATCGGTTACTATTTTTGAAAGTTAGTTGATAAGTTAATTGTATGTATTGCTATAATGGAATTAAATGGACACTTTCAAATTAATAAACATAAATAATGATGTCATTGATTCCACGTGGAATTATTAGCGATTGAAAAGTAATGACTAAGCTTTATAGTGGGCCGGGGTAAGGTGGTTCATAGCTCTCGTGAATAAAAAGAAGTGTAACTCGCAAATAATAACTCTTAATTCAAGATAAGAAATCATCTGAGTCACGTAGTTGACCTATAAAGTTATCTCATCATAATTTACATCCCAACAGCTTTCATCAGTAAGTACACTCGTCTTTCCACCGCTTAAAAAGTTGAAAGGTGACAACAAGCCTCTGGTACATCATTTGCCAAACGTTACAAAATGAGGGTTCTTATGCTAAAAGTTTTTTTTTTTGTGATTAAAACGAGGTGCGCTCATGGTTTTGGAGTCGTTCCAAACAGGGTTATGCATTTCATGAGGTGGGATGAGAAAAAAACGTGACATACAGTCGATTAAAGGTGTTCGAAAAGGAGAAGATGAGTGATAACTGCGAGTCAGGTTTGAGGAGGAGAATGCACGTTAACCAAATAGATCAAATAAACGTGTTTGATAAACAAGATGAAACTCTTTTTAGAATAACCAAAACTAAAAACATATATTTCATTTAAAAACTTAAGAGGTGTTTGAGATTGCTTATTTGAAACAACTTATGTTTTTCTATAAAAGTACTTATCAACTTCTTATAAGTTAGAACTGTTTAACTTCTTTAAAAACTTCTTATTACCGGTTTGACACCGATATAAATTGTTTATCAAAACACTCAAAAGTGCTTATTACTGATATCACACCGAAATAAATCAATATATTATTTTTATAAGTAATTTCAAACACCTCTTAATTTAAAAAAGTTAAAATGTATTAGAGATTTTTTTTCTAAGAGAAAAAAGTTGTATATAAAATGTTAGTAGTAATTACAATGATTGTTCACGAAATCCATGAGGGAAGACCGTGGTCAAGTTAACAAGGGACTTGTGGGACCAAAAGTCATCGTGGTGGACTGACGTCAGTGGTGGAGAATTAAATCACAACCGTTGAATTAATCTTGCATATAAATCCAACGACAGCTAATACACGTAGCTTAATATCGAAGAATATGCCATGTGGACTATCCATTCTTGTAACCATAGTTAAATATTCTTAACTCGACACATGAGTTAATTCACCATCTCAAACCCTATATATATCCCCCCTTCACCCAACAACACTCTCATTCTCAAGACATACATACTACCTGTATATCTCTAGAACAATGTCCTCTCTTCAATTCAATCCCATTGTTATCTGCTAATTCAATCAAAAACCAAAACCCCTAATTCTCAATTTGAAATATTTGTTATGAGCTTTGTGATTGCATTGGTGAAATTAGAAGAAACTAGAGTTGTTCCGAAATTGAGAAAATGGCGGAAGTGACGACGAAGCGATTCTGTGTGGGTTACGCACTGTTACAGAAGAAACAGCGGAGCTTCATTCAGGTTTCTTTGCTGAATTTAGCCAAAGAACGCGGTATCGATCTCATTAGGATCGACACCGACAAGCCGCTGGTGGATCAAGGCCCTTTCGATTGTGTGCTTCACAAGTTGAACGGTGAGGACTGGCGGAAACAGCTCAAGGAATACTCGGTCCGGAACCCTAGCGCTGTCGTGATTGACTCCCCTGACGCAATCCAGCGGCTACACAACCGGATTTCGATGCTCGAAGTGGTTTCGGAGATTGAGGCGGAGGAGGTGAAAGACGGTGAGTCGGCTTCCTTTGGGACACCCAAGCAGACTGTAATATACGAACAGGAGAAGCTGAAGGATCCGACTTCGTGGGGCGAAGGATTGAAGTTTCCGGTGATTGCGAAACCCTTGGTAGCGGACGGGAGTGTGAAATCGCATAAAATGTCGTTGATTTTCAGTAGCGAGGGTTTGGATAAGCTGAAACCCCCTACTGTGTTACAGGAGTTTGTGAACCATGGCGGGGTGATTTTCAAAGTGTATGTGGTTGGGGTGTATGTCAAATGCGTGAAGCGGAAGTCTTTGGCGGACATTAGCGATGAAAAATTGGGGGGTTTGCAGGGTTCTCTATCGTTTTGCCAGGTTTCTAATTTGAGTCCTCATGCAAAGAATGACGATACGTACTATAAGATTTTGGAAGATGCAGAGATGCCTCCGATGAGTCTGATAACTAATATCGCTCGTGGGCTGCGTAGGGCGATGAAATTGCATCTTTTCAACTTTGATGTCATCAGAGATACTAGGGTTGGGAATAGGTACCTTGTTGTGGACATCAACTATTTCCCTGGCTATGCCAAGATGCCCGGTTACGAATCTGTCTTGGCAGATTTCTTCTGGGATGTTTTGACCAACGAAGAGGCTAGGTCCTTCGATAACCAGAAAGAAGCAACGAAGTTGGTAGATAACATTGGTGGCTATGGGGAGGAAAAAAGGCATCTTCCTGTGGGAGATGATGAACAGGACCCTTTTCAGGTTTGATAATGCGGAAATTGGGATCAGTTTTGCTGAAGTGTATTCTGATCCCTGATCTTGAGTTTGTTGGTTAATGAGCTCTTGCTGTGGACATTTTCTTCTAGATAGGTGTTAGTACAAGGCTTATCTTTAGGGTTATCCGCTTTTGTTTTCTGCCTCATGACGGCAGTTTACATGGTGTTCCTTGTTGATCATGTACATTCCATCCTTTGCTTTGGAGATAGGTACTTTCCAATACTCTGAAAGTTTGTAGGGAGGTTAGGTTGCTATACGACGCATATTGTATTCCCTGGCTTAGAAACCTTTATAATGTGTGCCTTGGCAGCTTTAGTGGATGAATGTTGCGTTTTTGATGCTGATATTAGTTCTTTCCCTATTGCTGTAGTATATATGCTGTCTTTTCATTTTATTTAGTGAAATGGTAATGCTTCAAATTCATGGACACATAACTATGCTATTTGAGTATTTCTCCTTTGGCAATGTTTCTTAATTGAGGTCATTTGCTCAATATGGTACAATTGTGCCAAACGACACCAATTTGTTTTGCATTCATATGCCTGCTATATATGTAGTTAAATGCAAGCATCCACATGTTTATAACAAAACACGGTTGTTGGTGATTGATGCTATTCAATATCGCAATGAATAATTTTAGTCGGCACAAATTGCCTGTGAGCAGGCTTCGCTATGAACTTGTGAATCCTGTTAATACATGACCTGATGCTATATCTTTTTTTAAGTATAAACAATATTTATATATGGCAAATAGTCACACTCTTTATCTTTGGTGAAGTTCGAACCCTTGATCTCCTAGGAGGCTGGGATCTACCAGCAACCGATGTCTTTGGTGGTCTACACAATGACCCTTTGGTCCTGATGCTATGTCTTTGGCGAGTTTTAGGTTGCCCCTAATCTAACTTAATTCTATCAAGGATCTTATGGCTTAATTTTCTGGTGGTAATACTGAATGGTTTGTGTCAAAAGTAGGGAAAAAGGGGGTAGTCGGATTTTATTGTGAAGGACCTGAAATAGTGTAAAGCACTTTCACCACCCAAAATTAGTTATAATATGGGAAACAGAAAAGAGGGTGATGGAGTTAAAGCATGTGATACTGAGATAGATGCTTTCTCTTTTTCTATAGGTTACTTGATGGTTTATGGGTACGTAATTTAGATGCTTTTTGCTTTAGTTACTGATGAGCTCAACTAAAGCATACATGGTAGTATACTATGGTGAATGTTCTTCGCTTATGACGTTCTGTTGGCTGATGAATCTTTGCAAGATGGCAAGCATGTGCAGACATGTTGGTGGATGAGATGTATGCATTTAGTCTGTGCAGACATGATGTAGTCAGGAAGGATATCTTCCACTATTTTATTTGAGACGAAGTGATTGATGAGGATGCTAGTTGTAAAATAATGCTAGGATGGATGATTCAATGACTGACTTTGGGAATTCTCTGTAATGAGAAATCCCGTTGAAGATGCAAGGTAAGTTATGTAGGATGATAGAGATACATGCGATTACTGGGAAGGAAGGATGTTGGGCCACCAAAAACAAGCATGCTCACAAGATCTGTAATAGGAAGGTGATTGCTTAGGTGGACATTTGGCCACAAATGAGGGAGAATACAGAAGGGATTTGAGTGAAAGAGGTGTGTGGCCACACGATGATATGGGAAGAAGAGTGGTGACACATTGAGCAGAAGCTAATGCAATATATAGCTTGAATGCACCAGCCACCGGTTATAAGAGTAGCTTATACCAAGAGGAGGTTGTTAGGAGAGGTAGAAGTTGACCAAGATTGACATGGGGGAAGTAGTGAAAGAGATTCAAATGGAGTTGCTTATACTGTGTAGCTAGCTTTAGATATGAGAGAGATTTATTTTCATGGTTACTCTTTACAATGTCTTTTCTCTTACTGTTTTGAGTCCACCTTAATGTTCAGAATAAAATGCTTCGTATGGCGGGGAACTGCATTCTGGTTATGCAAGCATCTTTTTGGAAGCTTATGACCCAATTTTTCTTCTGTTTATGGCATGTTTGGCCTTCCGGCCTAGGCTATTGGTTGTTTGTGTGACGTAGTATCAACCTCGAAAAGACGATATAGTGCTCTGATCTAATTTGACCAACAATTTATGCCACCATGCAAGAGTGTAGTGGAAATTACTTGCAATGTGCTTGTAAGTTAGTCTCCTTATTTAATTCCTAGCTTTTCTGTGGCATTTGGTTCAGAAACCTGCACATGGGTGGGGTTTAGACCATACGCTAGATGTATGCCAGCTGATATTATGGTCAGTTGTATCCCTTTTAGTTTACTCATCTTTGCATGGTTCGAAAGTGTCATGTTGTATGATATCGGATCACAGAACATCCAAGTTTTCTTGGCAGCGTATCTTTAGGTTGTTGGAGGCCAACTGGTTTTTTTGGAACTTTTCTGCAGATCTTGCTGATCAAAAGTTTCTGTTATTGACTCTACCATACTTTTTAATTCCTTAAAAGGCTCCCTTACAACACCATACACGCCTTCCTTTAACCTACTTATGTCTTTGCTGCTGTTTTCTAAATTTTTTCACACATAATGTTTTGTTTCCACTCTCTGGGAAAATAATGCTTACATGATTTGGTCAAACAAAATAACAAGGATACTACGTTTCTCTACTTTGTAAGCATACATTTTATCATAACAAGCTTGAATAGCTAAGGAAAGGGACAAGAAGCTAGATATCTTTTAGTGGAACTTCTTGTTATCTGCCGTTGGAATCCCAATGGTCTGGCATTTAAGAGTCATATGGGCCTCTTACATTCTGTCTTCGACTTTGTGAATCAGACTGAACGAGCAGTTGCTGTGAAATGTCCCTGTGGTATATCTAACTATGCTTCTGCAAGATGGTATTGTTGTGACTTGCTTGCACCCTTAATGACACATCAGGAACAACTAGTTGGTAAGTGGAAAGGTGTAACTTATATGTTCTTTGCACTTGTTTATGGTCGAAACTCAACTTCAGTTAGCTATGAGAATCATTTATTCTTCATGTGGTTTCAGTGGTGTGGGCTTTAATTCTTTATTAGCTTTGTCCTATATCGTGCATGTATTCTGAACCCACTAGTAGTTTGATACTTCGATTTAATTGTATCAGTAGCATCAACTGTATGGTATTAAAATTTCTTCAACTTATGGTATCTTTCTTTACTTACGTTTTCATAATTATATTAATTACCTTATTCATTTGGTTTTAATCAAGTTATCTGATGATTTACTAAAAATAATTAACGATGATTGACATAATTTATATTTTATTTGCCAAATTATTTTTGGCTTCATTATTTTGTACGACATTGACTATTTATGTCAACTACATGATTATGAATTTTTCTCTTTGATTCTAGCTTTATCAGCTCTGGTATTATATGCTCCCATGGAGGATAATTCTCTCTTCATTCCCCTCTTAGATTAAGGGTGCTGTGGTGTGGAGTAAAGCATGCTGTATACTTTCGATTCTCAACAAGTCAATTTATTGGCTACATGATGATAACAAAGATCAGTAAGTGGGTTACTCTAGGCCACATTTCACATATTCCACCTTTAGGCTTCCAATGGCTGGAGTAGAACAAAAAACAGGACTTTTTACGGTTAAAGCAGTAAATGTATTTCTGAATGCCTTTTCCATGAAGCGAACTTTTTGTTTTGATGGGTCATTTGTATAGGTATCAATGTACCATATGTTCTTAGCCTTTTTTCTGCATCTTTAACATACGTGATACGCCATTCTTGGAATTTATTGTGGATTGTAAACGAATGAGGTTCTTGCTTTAACCTATTTACATAATTGAGTTTGTGACATGATCCAACTTTGACTCTGTTCAATGTTTGTCTTAGGGTTGAAACTTAGTTACTGAAAGATCATGATGACGGAATTTATAGTGGAAACACGTGCCTTTTTTCTAAGTTTACCATGTTTGGGAGGGGCTGCAAGGTATTTGAACTGAGTTCTTGGATAATTTCTTCCTTTTTCTTGTTGTAGGTCTAGAGTCTAGACTTTAAATACTAGCACATGTCTAGGGTTTCTCAAAAGCTTCACCTTGTTAGTGTTTGTTATATATGCAACATACACATATAAGTGCAGAGTGCACACACACACACACACACATATATATAGATATATAAAGCTATATACTTATTTCTTCAGTTTGGTTACATTTATATAATCTCTTCAAAATTTTCGCTGTTCTGAAGTTTCACTATTATAGCACAGCATTTAATATCTTAAATACACTTGTAAAAACTGATAAATTATTGGATCTTACAGATTTAATGCACTGGTATCTGTTACTTAGTTCTTTAAATTAGTGTTAGAGCCAACTTGTGCTGTTAAGGGTGATTCTGTGCAGATCCTATGGAGCCTTAACTTTGTTGCCTTCAGCGCACACTTGCTAACAGATGGTATATAGTGCATCCTCAGGATGAATCAAATACGCTCCTTTAGCCTCTTAGGTCGAGGATGTTGTGCCTTGGCTGTAAATCTTTTGTCATGTTCAATTGTTTGTCATCATCATTTATCAGTTTTCTTTGTCTGTTTCTGTTCCAGTGGTGGGATTTCTATATTGCGGCACTAAGGTCATAAGGAGCTACACAACAGCCTCCCTGCTTGTATGAGGCAAGGCCGTGTGTTAGTCCCTTCTAATGCTCTGCAAAGATAGGGGAGTAGTGCACTGGCACATGATTTGTTACTTAAACAAATAATTTCATCCTTAAGACAAGGATCATGGAATTTCATGCTAAAGTTTCTTCACTTTGATGTGTTCTACTTGTAGTTTGTTGTTGGTATGACTTAGTAATGAACTTCCTGTGAAACTTACCACTTTCAACAACGTTTGCATTTGGTAACATGCTTTGATGTTGTATTCCGGATCCAATTAGCTTAAGAGAAGACAAGAAATCAGATTTTTTCGTAGACATAGAGCAGCGGCTTTCTGGTTTTATATCTTTGTTCTTAAGACCATTACGAACTGAGCTTATTTTAGGAAATTGTTTATCAATTCTGTGATATTATTAGCATAGTTGACCTTGTAACACAAGATAGCCTAGTTCTTGATGGTATCTTGTGATTTCCATTATTGGCAATGGTTAATAATAGCTAGCTTGTTAAAAGAGGTGTGGCTTTGGGATTGCCTATGGTAGGGAGTGCTGAAATACTTCTTTGAGGCAAGATCTATGTGGTACTTAGAAACTAATTATAGTAATGGAATATTCTCATAGAAATGTTCCCAAACACTGGAAGGTGGAAGACATCATTATTTGGTTGGTCTTCATGACCGATTAAATTAAACAAAGTGTCTGCTCTACTATTAACCGTGTTGAACGGCAAGCAGCTGG